AGTCTGAGCATGTGCACTAGATGGCCTGATAATGACACAGAGAGACAACATTCATAACGAACCATTATTTTCATCTATACACAGTCCTGGGCACAATGCACATTACTGGCACAGCAAGGAGTTCTGGGAGTAGGAGTTCAATGATCAGCTTTCTGCTGTAGCAAGCTAATATTTGGACTACAACCCCCAGAAACTCCATAACTGCACCAACAGTACTTCTGGAGTTATAAAGGTAAATACTTCACGTTGGGAAATAAAAGGAGGAACAGCATGGGCTTACAGAGCAAAAAACTAAATAAAGATACTCCTATCCTACCCCTTGCACCAAATATGGTGACACTGTGAGTACCCCATCAACCACTCCAGGACCTCTACATTAATCACTATGGATGCATTATTATGTGTGTGGCTCCTTATAGCTGTGTGTTTGGGGCATTACTTTCTGATTATAACTCAAACAAACAGGAAAGGTTTATAATGTTACTAGCCCAATTCTCCCATAGTTTTCCAATACTGGATATACAAACTAGCAAAGTAACCCGGACCAGAAATATCAAGTTAAATAGTATCACGTACAGTATTAACTGTTTACACAGTAAATTCCTTTTATAACCATGAGCAGACCTCTTTGTGCCAAGAACAGTATCTGGATCATTTTCCAAGCCGATGTAGTACATGTTGAAGGTGGACTGAAATGATATATGATTGCTATTAGCCAATGTAGTTTTATATATGTTTTACACTAGGTATACTATTGTTGCAATACTGTATGTGATACTTTTAAAATTTGTATTTTTTTACGCAGCTTACTTTGCTAGTTTGTATATTTGAAATTGTTTTTTTATTTTTTAAAAAGCAGAATGAGGTAGAGGGTTTCCTACTTTTTTGTAAGCAGCAGTTGTAATTAACGGATTTAATTATGATTATTTCTTTATACTTGGTGAATTTATAAAGTGCCATTAGACTTATTTTTAGTATAAGCTCTAATCCTGGATGTTAGATTTTCTTGGTCAATCCGAGAATGCTTTCTCAGACAATCCTAACCACAGGAGTGCCATGCATTATAGCAGCCATTTTTATTTCGCTCCATAAAACTCACACAGGTGAAGTGGAAGTACAGTAATCAGTCTAGACTGATCCCCACGTTACAACCATCACGCAAACATACCTGATTTAACATTAAATACGTGAATCTTGTTAACTGAGCCAGTCACTATGTGAGTACCCAGGGGGTGCCAAGCCAGACAGAGAATTCGACCTGCAGAAAGGAGAGATGTGCCAACATTAAAGCTGGAATACAAACCAAAAAGCCTGTAACGTGCGAGAGCACACTGTTCGAAGTTCCTTTACCTTTCTGACGATCCAAATTTCTTTCAAATGTGACACGCTCAGGTGTAACGCTGAACAATTTGACAGAGCCGTCCTCACAGCAGACCTGGAGAAAGTCAAGGAGAGGACTGTCAAGCAGGTCCAGAGTCTTCATGGCAGACTATTCAAATAACTTGTAGAGAGGACCATCTAGGATTAGAAGTCCTTTTACTTACTGCAAGGTGTGAGCCGCTGGCATTAGCACGGATACTCCAGATGGGGCCTCCAAAGGCATCGAGAGTATATTTGACGCACAGCTTTGCGAGGTCATATTCTACAATCTCACCGTTTAGACCAGCTGTGAAGAGTCGGTTGTCAGCCGCCCAACAAATTGCTTCTGTGGATCTCTTTTCATCTCCAGGGATCACCTGCACAGAACACACACACATTTACGGGTCTATGTGCAGACTTGTAAACGCTTATATTCCAGAGGAGTCCTGCCAAGGAATTCCATTTCCTGGAGATACTATTATTACAGAATGTTCTTCTAGTCTCGGTGATACCATGGAATCCTCCTCCATAAAGTAACGAGGAGACCTATATACTCTACAAATCTAGCCAGGAAAGGGCACCTTACTACACATAGCTTTTACAGTTTACATTTGTGGCAAAGGCAAGAAATGGCAGAAGATTTTCAGTGACGTTGATACAGATTCAGAATAGGCATGACATTTTTACTTGCCAATGGCTAGTGTATATTTTAAGCCCACAATACATATTTCTTGTATGAAACTCAGCTACATTCTACCCATGTTTCCGAGATAACAGAGGTTAGGTTTTTTTACTTAAATATGTGGGGTTTCTTTTTGTTTCAAAGAAATTTTAGTTTAAGATAGTTCAACATTTTAACCCAAGCAGAAGTGAAATCCGTGATCTCTATTACTCACTACTACTAGCAAATTGCACGGCTTAACTTGTGATTTAGATTTTAGTGTAATTTTTGGTAAAAAAACAAAAACAAAACAACAACTATTCTTCAACTCGAGCAACTGCTTCTAATACTGAATAAGAAATTATACTAAAATGGAAAATCAACAGTTATTGAGAAATTCCACAAATGCTCAGAAATGTGAGTGTTACCTAGAATGATCATACCTTTTCCTGGTAATAATTTGCAGAGAAATTATACACCTCCACGGAGCCATCGCTGCGGGCTAGGGCAAGTCGATCTGTCTGCTGGGCGTAGGCCATACAGCGCACGCTGGACGGGATGTAATCAAAGAACTGAGCACGATGAACCTTGAATTCCCCCATTTCTAGAACCAAACGCATTAACAGAAGATGGAATAAAAAGAAAGAAATAGATAATTTAAAAGATTGCAATACAGTGTATTATTATTATATTTAGACGTTATTATAGATTATTACTGACCCCCCCTGTAATACAGTGTATTATTATAAGATATTATAGATTATTACTGACCCCCCTGTAATACAGTGTATTATTATAAGATATTATACATTATTACTGACCCCCCTGTAATACAGTGTATTATTATAAGATATTATAGATTATTACTGACCCCCCTGTAATACAGTATATTATAAGATATTATAGATTATTACTGACCCCCCTGTAATACAGTATATTATAAGATATTATAGATTATTACTGACCCCCTGTAATACAGTGTATTATTATAAAATATTATAGATTATTACTGACCCCCCTGTAATACAGTGTATTATCATAAAATATTATAGATTATTACTGACCCCCCCTGTAATACAGTGTATTATTATAAGATATTATAGATTATTACTGACCCCCTGTAATACAGTGTATTATTATAAGATATTATAGATTATTACTGACCCCCCCTGTAATACAGTGTATTATTATAAGATATTATAGATTATTACTGACCCCCCCTGTAATACAGTGTATTATTATAAGATATTATAGATTATTACTGACCCCCTGTAATACAGTGTATTATAAGATATTATAGATTATTACTGACCCCCTGTAATACAGTGTATTATTATAAGATATTATAGATTATTACTGACCCCCCCTGTAATACAGTGTATTATTATAAGATATTATAGATTATTACTGACCCCCCTGTAATACAGTGTATTATTATAAGATATTATAGATTATTACTGACCCCCTGTAATACAGTGTATTATTATAAGATATTATAGATTATTACTGACCCCCCCTGTAATACAGTGTATTATTATAAGATATTATAGATTATTACTGACCCCCCTGTAATACAGTGTATTATTATAAGATATTATAGATTATTACTGACCCCCTGTAATACAGTGTATTATTATAAAATTATAGATTATTACTGACCCCCCTGTAATACAGTGTATTATTATAAGATATTATAGATTATTACTGACCCTGTAATACAGTGTATTATTATAAGATATTATAGATTACTGACCCCTGTAATACAGTGTATTATTATAAGATATTATAGATTACTGACCCCCCTGTAATACAGTGTATTATTATAAGATATTATAGATTATTACTGACCCCCCCTGTAATACAGTGTATTATTATAAGATATTATAGATTATTGACTGACCCCCCTGTAATACAGTGTATTATTATAAGATATTATAGATTATTACTGACCCCCCCTGTAATACAGTGTATTATTATAAGATATTATAGATTATTACTGACCCCCCCTGTAATACAGTGTATTATTATAAGATATTATAGATTACTGAACCCCCCTGTAATACAGTGTATTATTATAAGATATTATAGATTATTACTGACCCCCCCTGTAATACAGTGTATTATTATAAGATATTATAGATTATTACTGACACCCCCCGTAATACAGTGTATTATTATAAGATATTATAGATTATTACTGACCCCCTGTAATACAGTGTATTATTATAAAATGTAATAGATTATTACTGACCCCCCTGTAATACAGTGTACTGACCCCCTGTAATACAGTGTATTATTATAAAATGTAATAGATTATTACTGACCCCCCTGTAATACAGTGTATTATTATAAAATGTAATAGATTATTACTGACCCCCCCTGTAATACAGTGTATTATTATAAGATATTATAGATTATTACTGACCCCCTGTAATACAGTGTATTATTATAA